ATGCCGGGCGGGTCGGGCACGGCCAGTAACGGGCTGCGTGTCGGTGCGTGTGTGTCTGCGTGGGTCTGTGCGTGCCTGTCTGCGTGGGTCCGTGCGTCCGTTTCCAGGTCCCAGTTCGCGCTGAAGTTCCTGGACCCCTCGTTCGTCCCCATTACGAACTCCCTGACCCACGAGCTGCAGGAGAAGCCCTCCAAGTGGGCCTTCAACCGGAGCGCGTTCGCGCAGCAGAGGTGAGCGTGCGGCCAGGCGCTGCGCCCGCGCGTCCCCTCCTCGCCCTCCCGGAGGTTGTCCCCTTCCCCCCAGGATTTAAGAAAATACAATCAGGGACTGCTAAGTACTCTGAGCTCTGACTAATTTGCCAGCAGTGAGACACAAAGGCTGAATCAGAGCATTTCCCCAGATGGTTACAGCTATCTTGGAAGAATTGATTACTTCAGGGCAGGACACCAGGCTGCAACACACATTATTTTAGCAAACGGAATGTGACCCAGTTTCCTGGGGTGCAAGTGAAATTGTCATTACCTCAAGATAAATGGCTGAGTTTTTAAAACTTGGAACAAATCGGACTGTAACAGCCATGAAATGCTGTGTTCATGGAGGCCAAAGCACGCCCAGCTAAACTTCCCAGCTAACTGCAGTTCTGAGCAAGTGCAGTGCTGCTCTGCCTTCCAGCAGCGCTCTGGCTGAGGGGGCGGGCAGAGTGAGGGGTTCAGATGGGGGCCTTCGAGCCCAGATCCACGGAGACATCCTCTTTGTGATTGCCTTCTGCCCCCTGACCGCAGGCTGCGCTGACTTCCCCCTGGGTGGCAACGGGAAGGGGTTCTGGGTTCCTTCCGCTTACTCAGAGCTGCTCCGTACTTAACGGGAAGTAAAATGTGCTTTCATGTTTCTCACTGTGACCTGAACCCAGTGATGTTTGTCCAGCCTCTTTTATTTATTTGCTTTACTGAGATACATATATATAAGTAAGTATATGTTTTATACATTTTTATATATATATTTACTAATACATATGTATATGAAGTTTGTATAAACGAAAAGCAAAACATTTTAGCAATGCCTGCTGTTTTTGAGACACCTTGTAACTTCGCTCACATATCCCACTTGAGAAGCAGGAACCCAGGCCCCTCAGCTCTGCAGCCAGGCCCCTGGTGGAGTCAGGGGGGCTGCTGCACCCCCTCGGTGCTGGCGGGCAGGGCTTGGGCTTCTCTCCTCCCTTCTGGTCACCCTCCAGTCACAGGTCAGCGCTGTTGCCAGTACAGCGGGGCACGTAATGCTCTTCTAGTGCCGGCAAACATCGCCCACTGCCCCAGGAAGCCACGGGCCACAGAGAGGAGTTGGCACTTTGCCTGCCCCATCCTTTCCCCGGGACCTCCCAGGCTGGTGTGACAGTGGCCACCCCTCAATATTGCTTCATTCCTGGCACCACCAGCTCATCCTTTGTAAGTCTATCTCTGTGCCACCCCTCTGATGATTTTAGCTGATGCCTCAGGATCTGCCTTTGCACTTGTCCGTTAGCCATAACCCATAATTAGGGCACCCAGTGGGACTCCATTAATGCTTAGACATTGGAGGATGCGAGCTGGGAGGTTGGTTGTTTTCCATAAACATGAGCAAATAAAGTGGTATTGGTTTTCTGATTTTATGCCCTGCAAGGGAAATTCCTGAGCAGGGTTGGTTTTGTTTGGTTTTTAAGTATCCCTAATAACCCTTGTAAAAATGCCAACGTGCTTGCCCAGGTAAGACATTAAGGAATTATATTTACATAAATGGAGTCAGCAAATGTCACTTGTTTTTGTGATTCAAAGCTTCTTAATGAGAACACACAAAAAAATCTGTATTTAAAAATCAGCTCCTGTTAATTCAGCTGAATATCCTGGACCGCTTGGTTTTACTTCACATGCCATACAAACATGGGACCCATCGTTACCAAAGATCCGCGGTCCCGTTCCAAGAGTGACGTGCACGCGGAGAGAACCAGCAGAAATCCTACCCAGCTGTATGACAGCCCAAACAGAACTGTGCTGCGCACCACCCCTCAGCACGGTGGCTGCGGGAGGGGCGTACCGGCGGCTGCACGCCGCAGACTTACACGGGGAATCCAATATTTTAATCCTGACACTGTTCCAAGAGACACAGACACATCCTTAGCTGGCGTCAGCCAGGACTGCCCCGTAAAGCCAAGCAGAGCTCTAGGTGAGGAGCCAGCTCCATAATTCCTATCTATTTATATTAATTTAAAAGCCATTGCACCACATTGCTCAGGAAACTACTTTACTACATTAAAAAAAGAAGAATGTAAGTCTAGCTGGAACGAAAATCTCTCTGCTGCAGGAAGAGGGGAAATATAACTCCATGTTTTCTTTCCTTCTTCTGTTTTATTTTAGGCAAGAAATCCTTCAGCATGTCGACGTAATAAAAAATTTTTCTTTGACCAAGAATAGTGTTCGGATTGGACAGCTGATGCATTACGATTATTCCAGCCATAAGTATGTTTTCTCTATCAGCAATAACTTCAGATCGCTGCTTCCCGACGTGTCGCCGATCCTGAACAAGCATTACAACATTTGCGCCGTGGTTGGAAACAGTGGGATCCTGACCGGGAGTCAGTGCGGGCAAGAAATAGATAAATCTGATTTTGTTTTTCGTTGCAATTTTGCTCCAACTGAGGCTTTCCAAAAAGATGTTGGAAGGAAAACCAATCTTACGACCTTCAACCCCAGCATCCTGGAAAAGTATTACAACAACCTTTTGACCATTCAGGATCGCAACAACTTCTTTTTAAGTTTGAAAAAGCTGGATGGGGCCATTCTTTGGATCCCCGCTTTTTTCTTCCACACGTCAGCAACGGTCACGAGAACACTGGTTGACTTCTTTGTTGAGCATAGAGGGCAACTAAAGGTCCAGTTGGCTTGGCCAGGAAATATAATGCAGCATGTTAACAGGTGTGTATTTTCGCCTTGCATTTAACTTGTCAAAATACATCTCCCTCTCCGTTTTTCTATTCGTGCCTGATCTGGCAGGCACTGTCTAGCAAGTCAGGACCCAACACTGCTTGGTTGTAGAGCAAATGCAGTTTTATTACTACTTCAGTAAGTACTTCAGTTAGTTCTTTACAGCTTTATACATGGCCCAGCAGAGGCGGGCTGGTCGTTCGCACCGGGGCACGGTCCGTCACTGGGCTCTGCTCCTGCTGCTGCTTCCGCAGGCGGGGGGGAGCGGGGGAGCTGAGATGCCGCACAAGCAAAGCGCCGCTGAGGGAAGAGCTTGCTCTTCTCAGCCAGCAAATAGGGATGCTAACGGACAACTGCAGGGTGGCCCAAGGAAAACTGTAATAAGTAGGAGGATAACATTGCCACCTCTTTAGCAAACGCACGTGTGAGCAGGAGCCAGTGGATCGTCCTTTTCTGGGTAAGGCACTACCTCTCCTGGTTAGAAACCAAAAACATTCGGAAGGGGACCACAAGAGGCTATCGATCAGAGTGCTGCTAAGGTGGTTTTGCACTCCCGGCCGTTACGGACTGACCTGAAGAGCAGTCTTGGCCTTATTCAGGCTGTCAGCTCTCAGCCCTGATGGTCTCCAGGCAGTGACTTTTTCTTCTTAGAGCAAACCTGTGGCATTACTTGCACCCCAGGCTAACATGCCTTCATTTTTTTCACAGATACTGGAAGAACAAACACTTGTCACCCAAGCGGCTGAGCACAGGTATTCTCATGTATACCCTTGCTTCTGCCATATGTGAAGAGATCCACTTGTATGGATTCTGGCCCTTCGGGTTCGACCCCAACACGAGGGAGGACCTCCCGTACCACTACTATGATAAGAAGGGAACAAAGTTCACGACCAAGTGGCAGGAGTCCCACCAGCTGCCTGCAGAGTTCCAGCTGCTCTACAGGATGCACGGTGAAGGACTGGCCAAACTCACCTTGTCGCATTGTGCCTAAGAACCTAAATCTTGAAGTGCCAAATGATTGTCTAAAAAGTGCCCAACACCGAATTAAACATTCTTCAGATACAATTCTAAAAAAACCCAACAAACCATGCCCTAAAATATTTTCCGTAATATAAAGATGCTTTTTAGTCACCCTTGTCACTGCTCATCAGAGAGTTTAAGTATATTTAGCAGTGCAGCAGCATTTATCAAATTCTGTGGATGCTATTCATGCAGCAGCAAAGTTGAAATATTTTGCATATAGATATTCTACCGAGTATGTTTTAAGATACTGTCATATTTTAGCATTCCACTAAATGCCCTAAATATCTTAATTTAATTGCCCCTTCCCGATTAGAATTAGAAATGCTAATTTTAAAAGGTTCTGCTTCTCTTGTATATGTTGCTATCGATAGCTCAGCATACATATATTGCTGTGGCCAACTGAGGAAACCACTCGGAATTCCAGTTTATTGTCACTTGCAAGTTCTTCAGTGTGGATCCCGATTTCCACCGCTTGCATATTTTCGTATTTACTGAATTTTACATTTTTTTAAGAGTAACGGGAAGAAGAAGGTCACAATATGGCTCATACCGTAGCTAGGTGTTTGTATTGCTCTAGGGATACTTCAGCATTTTAATTCAATTGGGGCCAAATCCCAGTCCAAATTAGCCAGGCTGAAGCACGGCCATTCCCACCCGTGTGATACTATTTATTTGGTCTGTTGATTTTAAAGTTAAACGGCCACGATAAACAGCATTAGGTTTCTCTGGAGATCTGTTGGGTGAGAAGAGCCCCGACCCCCGGCACGGGCGCACCTCCCTCTGTGCCTGCTCTCCGCACCCTCCGAGGGCGAGGGCTCCGTCGGGAGGACGAACCCCCTGAGCGGGGACCCGTGCACCCACAGAGCCCATCAGCGCTCCCCGTTCTCCCCTCCTGCGCACGCCGCCCC